AGGTACATGGATTAGAGTCTCTAAGGATGAAGATCAGAATAAATAAAACAAGTTTATTTTCACATCCGATCAACTCTTTTATTAATCTGTGTGCTAGTGTTGGGTTGTTGGATGAAAAGAATGTAATAATGACGAAGCCATTTAATGAATGAAGGTGACGATGAATGATAATCTATCAGTGGATTGACATGACATCCCAATTTTCGTTTTGGATTTCACTCTAGACTGAGGATTGGTCATGATTCCATCATCACACCCCAAGAGGCATGGTGGAGAGCCCTCAAGGAGCTCTCCATCATCCTTTTTAAGGATGTGATTTTTAGTGGAGCTCACCATAATGCCTCTTAAGGGTGTGCTTTTTTTAGTGGAGCTCTCATCATGAATGCCTTTTAAGGGTGTGATTATGGAGCGTGAAAAGACCCACTATGGTGTCCTAGGGGAGTCATTAGTACTAATAGTAGTCCTGTACTTTTCACTTTTCAAATCTGAAAGCCTGTAATATTATTTATTATTGTCACATAAAAAATTACACATATAATTATCAAGAGTATATAATGGGAGTTCTCCCATATATGCTCTTTGTTTCTATAATGTACGTCGATGGTAGCTCAATTAAAACTGACTTCTTCTCATTCACTCATGTGTGCCCTTTTTTGTGGTGAGCTACAGTGTCATTGACACTTTCATTCAAATGATTCTGGTAGAAAAGTAGGACACGTAGAAAAATTATTTAAACTATAATCTACATAGCAGAATTGTACTCCCAAATATAGGTGACCATGGTATGTTGACACGAATACTGACACTACCACTCCTTGAAAAATTTTCATGGAAATGGCTCAACTCTCCCATCCGATGCATGTGGCTAAACAGAGGAATTCCTCTGACCTGTGATTGGGAGATAAAAATAAAATTTGTGACGTTTCTCATGACTGTCACTCAGTATTAGATATGTCACTGACTGTACTTACAATGATGGTTTATTTTCAAAAGATTACAACATTCACACTCTTTATAGAGGAGTCTCCGAGTATATGCTAACTTTCGCGAAGAGTTTCATGTTCAAGTAGCGTTTGTGTTGTATTCGGAGCAGTTCCTTTGTTTACGGTTTAGCCGCTGACTGCCAACGTCACTCCAACTTCTGATTAGCTCAAAAACCGGCTGATGTTACGTTTTGACACAGTCACAGGAAGCCTGGCATATGGGAAGGGGGAGGGAAGAAGAGAAAAATAAAAGAGAGGGGCCTTAGACTACGTTTTACTATCACTCGAGTTGTATGTATGTCATATCTTGACAGAATTCTATTTTTATCTTCCAATCACAGGTTGGAGCCATTCCTCCGTTTAGCCGCATGTCATCCGATGGGGTAAGTTTTTTAATTTTTATAATGTCCTTTATTTCCAGAAACACATATATCGTCACCCTCCTACGATAATTGCCTAACTCATTTTAGCTAGTTTTGAGAAAACAATAAAAAACTGTTTTAAAACTCACTGGGAACTTATTTATTTATTATTTGTTGGACAATGGTACATGATAATATGACAATTAAATGAACATGGAGAGTTAGTGTGGTTACATAACAGGTGCACATGACTTGGGCAAAAAGTACAAACATCAGCAGGTAAGTTAGGCACTTTGATTCACGAGTTAGGCAGAATGCCTAAACGCATAAATGACTTAGGCAATTTTATCCCAAGATCATTTCATGGCAAAGTAACACAATCATTCCCCTGTAATTTATGATTGCAAATGAGGCAGGGAGTCAAAGTATTGATGACAAAACCGTGGCATGACATGTTTCATCGATCTGAGGTCATTGAATTTCTACAATAAAATGGGTAGCGGAGCAGCGAAGACTAACCCATGCAAAGGGTTCCTCTGGTATGTTCAGCCTCTGGGGCAAAATCTCCCAGTTAGATTCTTCAGAATATAATTCTAATTCCTATTGTGGCCTCCTATTGTTGCCAAAAGATCAAAGGAAACGCTGTGTCTCAACTTTACTAAAGTTATAAAAAGTTGCTCGCACAGGGGGAGGCTGGCCTTAGTTGTTGCCTTGCTGCTGAGAAATGAGCTGAGGAACTCAAATAATTTTATGAAAACAATCTAACCAATGCCTGCGAGCATTTTGCATTTTTTGTCGTTATACTGGACCCTAGCTACAGACAGGCTACTATTCAAAAGTAAAATTTCAAGTTTGTTCACTTTATCTTTTGCACGGGTATGTTCTTGACGTAAAGCATTCATTTCGCAGTAGAGCATCTCTCTCTCAGAGTCTCACTTTGCGCCAGTGGAGCTTGAAGTCCGCCCAGGGTAGCAGGTGCAGGTATCTCGGGCTCTCTATCCTCCAATTGCGGACTAGCAGGTCTGGTTGGCAACTCTGCAGTTTGATCCTCGTCCACCTCTTGCTCTGGTACTGGCTCACAATACTCTTTACAGAGATTTGTTTTGCCATTGGTGTAGCTTCATTGGCAAATGATGAGCAGCAATAAAAAAAGGGGGAAAAATTACTTCAGTGTATCGTAACTTAGATGCTAATTATATGTGACAGTAGTAAGTGTACAACACCAATAGCCCGATCAGGCTATGAGACTAACGAGGGGGGTACAAGAGGGTACCCATCTCCTGCCTCCTACCTTCTTCCCCCAATCCTCCCAACTCCCTCCCCCAATCTTCCTACCTTCATACCCACATCCTCCCACCTCCCCCTCCCTACCTTACACACCGGTTACCGTGTATATACACACCGTCTCCCGCCCCATGTACACCGTCTCCCGCCCCATGCATGTACACCGTCTCCCGCCCCATGTACACCGTCTCCCACCTCCATGTACACCGTCTCCCGCCCCATGTGCCATCACTAACGTCAATAACAAATATTTTTGTTATCGTTATCATCATTGTTACATCATTGGCGATATACACATCTTTTGATATATGCCCATGTCTTGGAGCTAGTATATAAGTAATTTGGACTATTCCCTTCCTGCCTATTTTATTTCTGCTTAGGGCTCTGTTGAATCTACTCAATTACGGCTTTCTCGGTGAGTCCGATTGAGACACGTGAGGTAATATTGATGGAACATAGTCAGGATGATCATTGATGTTGCTATCTTTCCTGGAGCAGAAATCATACATGTATGTGGAAGAAAACTCCACTCACTGACACTAATAAAGCAAAGATTAGAAGAAATAGTTACTACTAAGTATATACTGTGTACAAGCTATACTGAGTTGACGTTAGTCGCACCGCCTGGTCGGGTTAGTAGGCTTAGGCCTACTAAGTAACAGTAGGCCTGATGACTCTGTCTTCAACCTCTCAAGAACAAAATAAAAATTGGAACATATGGCTTTCTATCTATTTTCAAAATAGTTAGGCCTATAAGGATAATCACTCATGAAAGTACTAACCTGATATGAAATAAGCTGAGAACAAACAGGTATAGTCAGACTTGCGCTGCCATAGAGATCCACTGCCTTCCTGCGTGCCGCGATTGATGGCTTTTAGCCACAGTATTCTTCTCTCGGGTTCAGTAGCTTGACTTGGTATTAAATAAAACCAAAGATCAGGTTTCTTTGCTTTGTTATTTTTGCAACGAAACACACAACAGCTTTTAACCATTTTAGTTGCTAATTAAAACTACCAAACTGCAAAATAAACGATTGCACTACTCGCTAGCTTTAGTATTGGCCCTTTAATGCGCATCTGTTTGCCCCTTTGCGTCAGTTGCTATGTGTGCATTGAATTGTGGGACGGCGAAAGGTCCCGTATGTGCGACTGCGAGAATACCTCTTCGACCACCAGCACTGGAATGCGAGGCAGCCTGTGGCTTTCACCTCGTGCCCCTCTTCTTCCGAAGAGTCTCCGGTGCTCTTCAATCACTGCACTGCCGGTCTGCGCAGAGGGAGCAGGTTGTTGAACACTTTGTTGTGCCATGAGTCAAATTAAAAAAAATTATCAATGTTATACAATATTAGAAGAAATCTTTTTAGAAAACTTCTATCAACCCTGTAGAGAAAAAACAATGTAAAATTTAAACTAGAGGATTAAAGTGTAGAGAAGTATTAAGTATGAAGACGGCGGTGGTATATGTAGGTTATGTGCCTAAATATTTTGCTAATACGCACGTATATTATGAGCCTGTGGTTTGAAAGCTATCGCTTTCAAAGTATATGCCGACACAACATTTGTCTCGCTCACTCGTAGTATATATCCTCCTGAGTCCAAATGTTCCCATATGGGGACATACCTTTTTGATTTACTCTGCTACACCAGATGCTTAGTAGTCACCAAGACCTCCTGAGTCCCAAACAAAAATTACTTCATGAAAATTGTTTGTTTTTCACATGTCACACAGCAACAATGCAAAATAGAGGGAAATTGGGGAAAAAATATTTCCCGTCCTCTGATTGGTCAGATAATGGGTGTCCCCCATATGGGGATGCTGGGACTCCATGACGATTATCTGTCAAGTCATAATGTCTTTATAGTGGATTTAAACATTGTTAATAATACAACTGCCAAGGTTCCTGATGCATAGGATTATCAAAGGAACAAATTATTAGGTTAGACTAGGCTTATTGCGATATTAAAATGTCTGCACCCATGACCGTAGTGACTCATGCCACACAGAAGTCTTCTGGGAACTCTACAATTAATGTACTATTGTAATTATTTAATAACACTCAAACAAACATTTTGAACACAAAAAAACGACATCAGATCTTCTTAACAAACAATGCTTGTTTATCCCTGCTTGATCAGAGATTGTCAGTAAACCTTATTAGGGGACAGTGCAGCTAGGGTCTAATTTAAGCCTACACACAGATTAATGTATGTCAGTTTATTGCCCATGGAACTCCTGAAAACAATTTCGTGCACCGTTTACACACAAGAACACTCACACTTGGTGCATTTTATTCTGGTTTTGTATTTGCACCCCTCATTTCGGCACCGTGCAGCATTTTTAAGGCCAATGAACATTGGCAGGTGCTTGGATGACCGTTGTCGGAATGCATGATCTGGTAGTGGTGCAATGGCACTTTCACAATCCTGAGGTTCATCACTGTCTGAACTAGATGACTCATTCTCAGCACGAATTAAAGACAACACAACTGCAAGTCTGAAGTCGTACAACTGCAGTTTTGTTTGCGGATTGTCAAGGCGGTACCCAATCAAACAGTTGCTTAAAGCAAGGTCCATGATATGGATAATGGTTCTCACAGGCCATTTGCGAGTGCGAGCGCCCATTTAGTGATAGGCTATCATCCTATCACACAGGTCTACTCCACCCATTGATTGATTGTACTTGGAAATGAGGAAAGGTTTGTTCACTTCAATGTGTTCACGATCTTTCTTAGACCAACGTCGACATGTGTCCTGTGGCTCCACCCCAAAAGCCGATGATGCAATCAAAATTGGTTTCTTATCATACCATTTCACTATTGCAATGTCACTGCTTGATACAAACTGTTTACACGTTCCACGACCTAGGGCACTCATATGTTTATCTCCGGTGAAACTCACTGGCACTGTGACCGGCAGACATCTCTTTGTAATGGTACCAGTAAGCATGATGCCCTTCTCCTTCAAATTTAATATCAGTGGCACTGTAGTAAAGAAACGGTCACAGAATAGTCGATGTCCTATACTCAGTGTTTCTACGAGACACAAAACAGCCCCTATACCCTGACCAGTCTTTTTACCATCTAGTTCATAATTGTCAAATGTGTGTGCTCCTTGATATACTTCAAAGTCCATTACAATGCCTGAAGCTCCAGCCAAAACAAAGTTTTTAAGGCCGGTGGGATGTGGTTTTCTATGTACATACTGCCGTGCTGGACATCTCCCAGTAAAGGCTATCATTTGCTCATCAGCCGAAACATCTGGTTCACGTGATAGTGCCACACATGTTTTTCTTATCTTTTCAAGAAAAGGACGAACTTTCCATAACCGGTCTGCTTCAGTTTCATTATCTGTGACAGCATTATTGTCAACAACTTTTAAGTAGTTTCTTATTTTGAAAAATCTGTCACGAGGCATCGTATCTGATATTGCAGGTACTCTTGTACGTTGCTGCCAATACATACGAATTCAGTGCTCGAAATAAGAAAAAAAATGTGGTTGTCCTGCGGACAACCCAGGCATCAAATCGGGTTGTCCGCAACAATTTCTGGTTGCCCCAAAAAAATATCCCCAAATCTCCTATTTTCAATCACATAATAATATGGTCAGAAAACACCCAAAAACAGTGGTGTAGCCAGGATTTTTTAACAAGGGGGGCCAAAAACAGTTAACTGCGCAAAATAGTGGATGACTTAATATTTTAATGGCTCCTCTGCCTCCCTCTCCACACCCTACGGCTCCTCTATCTTCTCTGCAATCTTTGTTTTGGGTGCCATGCGAAAAGGCGTCATTTTTGTTCATTGTTGTCTGCTCGCAAGATATGTAATTGTTCAGTGGCGGATCTAGGATTCCAAGGAGGTGGATGAAAAACAAGCGGGGGGGTGGTATGTGGGTCCTCCTTCGAAAAATTTTGAAAATGTAGATCACAGGAGATGGTATTTGCGGCACTTTTGAGTACATGTACAGCCTTCATTCTGACTACGACAATTTTCTTTTTTTTAACTTTCGGATCAACATGAATCCCCACTGTTGTTTGTTTTGCATGGGTAAAGCCATCGGAAAATTCAAAATAATAATGGAATAAAAATACCAAAATGTAGGTGTGAACTTGCTGGTTTGGTGGTTCCAAATCGAGTTCACCTCTCATAAATCAGAAAACCTGACATATACCAGTGTTGGAAATAGCAGCTGGTATGCGTCGCTTTCCCACACCATAGATTAATGGCGGGCCGCCAGGCTATAAGTGCTCTTGGAGAACCCCTGAGAAAAACATAAATAAAGTGCGTTTTTCGTCACATTTTTCTTGGTTGTCCACCAGACAATGTCTCCGACTGGTTAGGTTGTCCGGCGCAAATTTTGGTTGTCTCGGACAACCGGACAACGCTAATTTCGAGCACTGCGAATCTTCTTCATCTGTAATGTAAAACAGGTAAGTTAGGTACATGTCAATTAGACAACAGGTAAGTTAGGTATAGGACAATCAGACAACAGGTAAGTTAGATACTAGGACAATTAGACAAGAGGTAAGTTAGGTACTAGGACTGATCAATATTTTTCTGTTTCAGATTTATACCCAGTGTGGTATATTTTTACATTTCGTGGATACTTTAGTATGGCAGTTACATTGATACATCCCATCAAGATGTTTACTCCGGTGAACCTCTTTATTTCAGTTGGGGACGTCTGCAAAATCTTGCCTGTACACTGTAGATAACGCCGATTTGTCATGTCTGACATCTGTGTACATCTCGGCATCAACATACTTGACAAAATCCGATGGGTCCGACAAGGTCCGAGGGCACCCAATCCTGATGGTCCTGTGAGTGATCTTCTCGTAGTGGTGCAGGGCCTCGCCGTAGGCCGAGGGTTTTGACATAAAATTATTGTCAGAGCTCAAGGTCAGGGATTATCAATCAATGCCCAGCTATTGAGGGCTTAATTTCTTGATCGTTCAATTTTTACAGCAGACATTGTTGTCCACCACGCCCGCTCACGCAACAATAGAAAACAATAGAACGTCGGAACAAACTTTATGCAGACATCGTAGAATCAATGTCAGACAGACTAGATATATGGAACTTACACATTTGTCTTTTTCCAAACAGATTTACGTTTAGCTGGTGTGGGGTTTGAAATGGCTTCTTCATCATCATTAGTGATATTTTGATCAGTCTCTGATAAGGTACTTGTAGAATCATTGTCATCATCAGCAGTGTTCAGAAATTCATCATTGTCAGACTCGTTATCTGATAACTCAATGTCAGAATTATCGAGTAGGTCATGTACTTCTTCCATGGTGTAATAGCGTCTACATGCTCTAGCTGAAATAATAAACAAGGTGTAAATGCAGGAATCACCATTTATGGCCATGGTCCAATGACAGTCGGTAATCCATACTGAGCTGTCTTGTATCACACAACTTTCTTGGGTAATTGGATACTACTTTCAATGGTAAATGCACGACAACCACATATTAATCAATGCATTCAGTAGTACCGGTACCGATTCCGTGATAGGCCGTGAAGTGAAGTTACAGTTCTTACATGGATTTGTTTTAAATTTAAACAGCTGCTGATTTCATCTATAACCAGAAATGCACTAGTCGATTCCGGCATTTCAGTACCAGTTCTGGTAACATGTACCATTACAAACAGTACACACTGCACAGTACATTTATAACAATAAAAGACTGCATTAAAATATCATTTGTACATGTAAATGTAAATGGTAGTTAGTGCAGAAGTTTTGAAATAAAAAATTTCTTTTATTAATTGATACTGTGTGATATCAATCTATCTGATTGTAGTCTAAATTATGTCATGAAGTCCTGATGTCCACATATGGGGACACGCGTATTTTCTGTCTCCATTATGATCAACTTGAATGTTCAATCCATACCAGTTCAGGCAAAATAAATATACCCCTAATAGTGATTGATTCTGTCATAATTATGTAATCCCACTAAATTCACATGCTGAGAGATTTAGTAACATACCTGGCCTGGCAACAGCATTTTTGTAACTTGTTGATTCCGCCATTTTGAAATTTGAATATACTGCAGTGTCGTTCCTCTCTCGCGCGGTTACAAGTGTCTCTTAACGTTTGCTTGCTTGCCTGCTGTCTCAGCCTATGTGGTTAGTTCGTGTACGTGATCGCATTCTTCTCTTTCTTGTTTCGTCGTGATAGCCAGGTTGTAGAAATCGGAATGTGCTCTGGCTTAGATGCGCCTTAGCTGCAGCATCGTTGGCATTGCTCTATAAAATGACAATTCCAGCAGTGTATCAGCATCCTTATCACTCTCACCTAATATGACAATTTGTCACAGACTCTTGAAGTGTGTAGGAATCACACATAGTATGTAACATGTTAACAAACATGTCATGCATTTTCAGCATTTAATAATAACTGGCCATTAATGATATTTATATAAACATACCATCTGCTTACTTTTGTGAATGACATGAATATTTCACCAAATAAAAGTAAAATAGCACTTTCTTCCTCACTGCATAAATAACTATAAAACATCATATTTTAATACCAGAGTCACTTTTCAGCAGGTCGTCGTCCTCCCTGTCGCACAACAATAGTATTATCCGGTTATATGATTTGTTTAATAGATTCTGATAATGGTCGAGAGTGAACGGTTGCCGTTTTGCAGTCCGTCCAACACATGGAAGGTCGTGAACCTCTTCCAGGTGAGGGTAGAGGATGAGCACGTAGGATTCATTTAGATTCCTTAACTTTTTGAAAAAAATCGTTTTCGTTTAATAGTTGAATTAGTTAGTAACAATAAAACAGTTGTACTCTTTAACTAATGAAAACCTGACGACAAAATAAAGTTAAATCTGTTTAGTTCTTGTTGCTTTGGTAATGCTCCCTCTATTATGTCAGCAGCAGTGGAACAGGATGGCACTTCCACCCCAACTGTGGCCCCTCTACATCTTTTAATGGTGAGGCTGTTGCTTTCTACAATTTCAATGTTGATATGTTGCAATAAGCAAACGATTGTAAAACCATATGGCACGTGGGCAGTAGGCATTCTTATATTTAAATATTAATGATATTTATATATAAATGATCGCTAGCGCCACCTGATATAGCGCCACCTCCTGCAGTATACATACTTTGGCCTTGGAACATCTGGCTGCTGTTAAGGGACTTCATTCATTTCCTCTGGGACATCATCACCATGACCATCGGCCATATTGCCATGTGGTTACATGACCGAATGAGCAAATGTGATTGCTCATTCAACTTGCTAGGTTTTTGCAGATCAGTATACATGACTTGCTCGAGACTTGCAGACATACTAGGTTCTTACAGATGAAAACCCAAACAGGGAAGACTTTCACACACTTTAACTTGCTAAAATGAATAGGTAAAACCTAGTAAGGCCAAATATGGGTCTAACTAAATTTTCACCAAAATTCGACTTACGAGGTTTTTCTAGATCACAGGAGATTTGTGCATACCACGTTCCGGACTCTGCAGGGGCATACGCCTCTCCCGGATCTAGATTCTGTTAGTAAACATTTGTTTTTGCAAGCACACGGTTTTGGATCTGATGACGTGCAGTGCAAAATTTTCAATTGAGAATGTGATGAAAAGCCAAAGGATACCTCCATCTTGCACGCGTACATCTGTGCTTTGCGTGGAGAGACTTGTTGTTTACAACACACGTAGTTTCCATGTGAACCATTTTGCCAATCAAGATAGGTCGCGTCTAAATCTTAGCCAGGAGGCTGATATGTCCTGGCTATGATCTGGCCACCACTGCGGCCGTGGTAGCAATTGTGTGAAGGTGGCGCCATCTTACATAAACTTGATTTAATAACGTGCTAATTTACCTTTAAATTTTATGCGTACGGTATAGGCCCTACATGTGTGAATGTACATGTACATGCACACTCTAGGCCTATATGTGATTTATTTAGTGAAGTAATGTAATAATTTTTGAAGCGGATCCCTTCTTGAATTTGTGGTCTACTGTAATGGTCCAATTTCAGTGAATGGTTTTTTAGAAGTGAAGTACCCACTTGGGGCACTGTGCATTAACAGCACGGAGAAGATCAGACTCCGGTTGTTCGCTGCCTGGTCTTCTTATCATAAGAACCATTAGCATCAAATTTGTCCTTGGGAATTGTGTACTGTTATATTTCTTCTTTTCGATTTCCGGTATAGATTCGAGAAAAAGTACTATTATTCTGCTACACTACTGAATAACATGGCGTTGGTATTGTTGTCGCCGGTAGTGGATATGGATGAAGAGCAATATGATATTACATATCAGACATTACATTTACTAACAGATTTAGTGCAAGTCAACACAGTTAACTAACTTATATTCCAGACATTACTGTGTTAATTAGTAACACAATTAACAGTTCTCCCTGTTGTCATGGAAGCCTCGGGTTCTTGTGGATTGTCCTTTATGTAGTGCTCGCAAATTTCTTGCATGAAATTACACCAGTCAATAATTGTTGTTGGAGCGACATCCGCTTCGCGAAT